CCCCTTTAAAGATACAAGAATCGAAAATTGCATGTAAAAATAAATGCAATCAGAAAAAAAAATTTATTTTTACGGATCTATTTAAGCACAAACGTTATGAGACAACGCTATACAACTTCCTGCCAAAAGTATTAGACCATCCTTCAAAAATATTGATTTTGTTGTTTTGATTGCATATAACTATTTTCAGTTATGTTTTACAAATTTCCCTTTTTTCTCCTTAAAATTAAATATTTATTCAACAAAAAAAATTCACACAATAAAACTTTAGTGTTTTAAATGAAAAAAAATATTTTTCAAGTGTGAGACAAAAATTTTAGACCACACTTGTTTAAATTCTTGGAGGACTATCTATGGCTTTTATTAAAACTGCAATTCGTTTTGGCATTTGTTTTACAAGATATTGATACTCATTTGGTGTAATTTCATCCTCAACATCTGTTTATAGCTAATTTCAATTCCTTCTTGTTTTGTCTTAAATATTTTTTTCTTTAATAAATATCACAAATTTTCAATTGGATTTACATCAGGACTATTTGGTGGCCAGTCTACAGTAATCATTCGTTAACTGTTTTGCTTCGGTGACAAGAAACATTCTCATTTTGAAAAAAAAAAAAAAAAATCGTTAACTATCTCCAAATATTTCCTCAAAAGACGAAATCAAACAGAAACTTAAAACATCTTGATATACGTCACTATTAACAGTACCATTGAAAATGTAAACTTTGCCTACTCCATAGGCTGACACACAGTCCCAAATTATTATGCCCGGTGGAAATTTCACATTTGACTTTAGACATGTTTTGCCTTTTATTCTGATTGCCTCCACAACTTCTTGCCGATGTTGTCACGATATCCCAAACATCAGACTTTCATCTGAGAGAACTACCTTCTTCCAGTCATCAGGTTTCCAGTCTTTATATTTTTTTGGTGTAATTTAGTCGCAGTTTCATCAGTTTGGGTGTAATCCTTGGTTTAGTTTTTACTTTTTTGGAATGTTAAATCATAGAAGCCAAACATGTAATAACTGTTCTTGAAGACACTGGACTTCAAGTTTCTCCCACTCTTTTGTAAATTTTCTGAAGGGTTTTTGTCTTCTAATTTTGTGATTTTCTAGGTCTGCCAGAACAATGCTGATTTTTGACATATCCAGAAAACTTAAATTTTCTAATAATGTTTTGAACTCCACTTTTACTTACACTTAGTAGTGTTGCAATTTTCTCAAACATGTTTTGTTTAAAAAATGATATTATTTGAAGTTTTAAATCTTTTCTCAGCTTCTTATTACGACCAAGATGCTGTTGTATACTTACAGTTTATGTGATTAAATGGTTACTTCCAGTTTCATTAGTGCCCTGAACAAGTTAGGGCACTAATGGTACAATTTATTCTATTAATAATTATCAAGTTTTATTGTGAAATCTTCTTGGATATACAGGTAGGCCTCCTACAACGCGGTACCTTTAGAACGCGTTTTCGCTCCAACGCGGTTGGAAAAATGCAGAAATTTTCTTATAACGAGGTACTTTTACAACGCGGTTTACGGTATTTAGAAACGAATTATCTTTCACATAACAGAAAAATCGCAACGGATCACGTAATACGCGCCGCAGTTCGGTGTACAGAGCTAAATGTCCTCGAAAACAGCTGTTTGTCCACGTTGACGTGTTATTCCCATGAAAGTTTTAGGGGAAGACCGGTTTCTAGATAGATGTGCATCAGTTATCATAAACACTCAAATATATCACTGAATTTTCGATAATTTATACTCTTTCAATAGGTGGGGACCACAAAAGTGGTCCAAAATACAGTATAAACTTCAATTGGGTGTATATTTTTAACAACATAGTAAAAGGAAGTTATTTTTTGCGATTTTTACTGTCCACAAAACTACTTGAAAAAATTTTAGCCATAACAATGTCGAATGAAAAGAAAGGACCGTCGTTAAAAAGGAAATTTATATCTCTTCAAACAAAGATAGAAATTTTGGATCGAATTAAAAATCAAGAGCGAATAGCTAATATTGGTAGGCATTTTAATTTAAATGAGTCAACTATTCGATCGATTAAGCAATAGGAAGAAAAGATTAGGAATTCGGTCGCATCCGGATCATCTATTCTTGCGAAAAATGTTGCTCGTCCGAGAGCACCTATAATAAAAAAAAAAAAAAAATGGAACAAGCACTAATATTATGGGTAGAAGATATGAACAAGAAACGGTTGCCTTTAAATAAAAGTGCACTTAAACACAAAGCCTTAAAAATATTTGATTATTTAAAACAAATGGAACAGTCGTCGGCTGATGAAACCAGTGTTAAATTCGTGGCTAGCAATGGCTGGTTTGAAAAATTCAAAAAACGCCATTCAAACGCCAAGTTTTTCTCTTTTTAGAACCGAATCCCAGTTTTTGTATTGAGTTGTGTCTCCTATAATGCGATTTCCCACAACGCGGTATTTTCAAGGAACGTATCTACCGCGTTGTAGGAGGCCTACCTGTACTTCATATGATTTAATACTTTTGTAAAGGAATTTTGCCGGTCTAAAATTTTTGTCTCACATATGCAAATGATTTAAATTTTTCTATTGTTGAAACATATTAAAATTCTATTGTGTGAATTTTTACTATTACATAAATAATGAATTTTAAGAAAAAAATACAGGAAATTTGTAAAACACAAATGAAAATACAGCAGTTATATGCAATAAAAACTGCAAAAATCAATATTTTGAAGGGCGGTCTAATACAGTACTTTTGACAGGGGTTGTATATCTAACCAATATTGAAGATTGAAGTAAACTTTGAACAGAAAGAATTTAGAGGAACCCTGTCGATAAAGCACAAAAAGTTAATACAATACTTTTAATTAGAAACAAGTATGCAATTTTACTATTGAAATAGAGTAACCCGCACACCAGACAAAAGGGAAATATATTAAGATCGTACCACGTCAATATTAGTTTAGTTGTTATAGCGCAACTGCGCTAATTGTTAACGCAAATGCGCTATAACAAGTAAACTAATATTTTCTTATTTCAAATAAGAAGGAACCTCGATTTCTTATTTCACTTTAGCCCTAAATACTTTGGCATGGACCTGATATATATATCATTGTAATTTTTACTTAGTGAAATTCGCGTTTTTTTAAAGCTTTTTATTTATTTATTTTTTAAAATCAAAATTAAATTTATTAAGAGCAAGGCGGCGCCCATGTTTCTAGAGGTGGAAATATAGCGGGGCAGCATAGCCTAGTAGCTCAAACCCAACCAGATCATCACCAACCGACCCACTAGAGATGGGAACTATTCCGACGAACGGTTTTTCGGAACTGCTTAGTCTATTGGACTAGATTCCTCGTCGGTTATATATATATACTCGCATGTGTCTCTCTTCGTAATAAACCTAACAATAGTAGACTAAAATAACCAAAGTTTGGATATGGTTTTCATTTTACGTACAGCCTTCTTACTTTTTGATCCTGCATATCTGCTATGTTCTAATAAAAACAGATAATTACGAACTGTAATGAAAATATAAATTTTAAAAAATAGTTTTGAATATTTTAAATTTATAAAGATAATTTCATTATTCTTAAAAACTCGTGAAACATTTTCATTTAATTCGAATTCAAATTCAGGTAGAGAGTTCACTATTTCGTATTCACAAAAGTACAAAACGAAGAACGCGTTAGTAGTTTCCATCGAAACTGTCTGGACACTCGGGTGTGGAACTGCTTCATTAGCTTGCTTACTTCTTGAAATGACCCAAGGTCTGATTTTTATGCCTTCTGATAGATGTAGCTAATTATTAGCATCCTTATTAGTAATTTTTCGCTATTTAATGAAAAAAATCTTATTTAATTAAAGGATATGACAAATAAACTCGAAAAATATAAAAAACTCAAAATTTAACTCCCCTTTTGACGGTTGGCGCCAATAAACGTGTCAACGCCTTGCGTTAAGAATCTTCTCTGAATTACACAATCATTTCTACATTAGGCTATATTTAAAGCAGTTATGTTACTCTTAGTATTGGGAAGAAAAATATTGACTATCCCCTGATAAGATTAATTCTTCTAATGGAACTAAGTTTGCTAATAAAGATTCATTTGAAGGCATTATCGATGCTTCAACTTGAAAAATTGATCATTTCAAATGTTATCAAAATTAATTGATATTTCCATTCATTAGTTATTATTTCAAGTAAATAATTAAGAAAATTTTAAAGGTCAAAAATATTATTTTTTTATATTAGACTCAATAAAATATCCGATGAAAAATAAATAATTTTAACAATATATTCCTTCGACTATTGGAAAGTTACAAATTCCTGATGATTTTTCATTTAATTTGCGAGAAGGAATTTGACAGCCTGACATAAAATGCGCCACACATTAATTTGTAAAAGAATTGGTTTCAAACGAATGAATTAAAAATTAACAGGTGAGAGTTAATTTTACAGCTGCCAGAACTTGCGTCAATATTTTCTGCTTGTGTGATTATTTCGATAAATTTAGATAAGTTAATTATAGAAACAAATTGGGTATATCTTCAATATCAATTTTAAACGGTCAATTCTATCGCTTTATATACTCGTTATAAATTTCGCAAATGAGAATTCTGCAATCTTAGTAATTTAATTTTGCATATTGCGCTTAAATTAATAAATGAAAATTCATTATCTAATACAGTAGTAAATTGTACCAACTAAACAGGGTTTCGCTGCATAAAAAGACTGTCGAGAAAAGAAAGCTGACTTTTCTCATAAAAACATTTTATTAGAACTTTTTCAAACTGGAAACTCGTTTTTAATGGGATGAAATTTGTAGCGCGTTACATCTGACGTTTCGTGGAAGCGGCCGGCAAAGGGCAGCGAAGTCGCAATTAGCAAACAAGACACGTAAGTAATTCCCTGTAGGAGTAACGTCAAAATGAGAACTGTCGAATGTTGCTAAGCTACCGAGTGTTGTCCTCTACCGTTACAATCGATACTCGATTCCACGTTCGTCCACATACCAGTCGCCGCTACGTAACGTGGCCCATAAAGCCCGGATGCGGGTGCTCGCCTCTCTGACCTTGTCACCCAAATATGGACGTGGCGGAGAACGGGCCAGCGGCCAACACCTCTTCTCTGACATGTCCTTCCTGCCGAATTACCATCGTGCCTTCGAGAACCCGCACCATGTGCCCTTTCTGTGGAAGCTTCTATAACCAGGCAGCTAATGCCAACGTCTCTCTGCGCAGTAGGTCCACCGCCGAAGAACAACTTCGGTTACCACAGATCGTGAGTATTTTCCTATTTTTCTCATGTTTAGGAAAGCTATCGAGATATCATTTCGTAAAGTTCTAATGTCCTTCTATACAAGGTTAAAATAGAAGGGTGGAGAATATGGGTGAAGTTCGAGCGTAACCGCTTTTTCCAATAAAAGGCAAGAATCCGTGAGGCGTGAAGAGGAGAGACTAAATTTAGGTCGATATAATAAATTAGAAATCTCTATCTTTCTTTCATTGATTAGACTTATAAATTAGCTAATAACTGCAATTCAGAAGATAAAATAAAAAAATTGCGTGGTGATATAAATAATTTATAGAATATTTCAAGTTTTAAATGTTTTCTATAGTGCAAAATGGAGAAATTATTAAAAAAACTTGGAAAATGTAATATTTGGCAACACCTATCTTCTTTGCACCGATTTATATTTAACTTCCTAATCTGGAATAGATCTGGCACTGGAATTTAGGTCGAATCTTTTGTAATTGCCGTTGGACAATAGGATGTTATATAAATCGTCTATGTGATGCAATCTCTATAATAACATAGATAAACCGTAACCCAAATTTTGTGCAAATATGGCGTCACGAATAGGACTATTTCGCTCCGTTTATTTGTATAACCCAGAGAATAAAATTTATCTCCATCTTCAATACCAGAAAATATGTAAAACACGACTTAGATGAGCAGATTTTATTTCAAGTGTTTTTCAGCACCTATTTGTTGTTTTTATTATATTATATAATACAGTATACGAGATACCTTTACACACTCCAGTCTAAGAATGGATTCACACAAAAAATAAGTGGATGCATTTTTTTATTCGTGCAAGCACGAATTACACAAAATTCAAGGGTGCACAAGAACAATTCTTAAATATACATCTACTCGTGCAAAATTTCTAAATAAAGATTCTATTTATATTAAAAGAAATAAAATATTTTTCTACGAATTTATTGTAATGCACAAATATTTATAAAGCAATTAAATAATCGAAAAAACAACCTTCATTTCAGAAGATACTAAATTATAATTGGGATATATAAAGTTAGTTCAGCAACTTAATATTTACAAATACGATTTTTAAAAATAATACTGTATTTTATAAAATTTTCCTTTGAATATTGAAAAGAGCATTTATAGTTATTGTGTATAAAAATATACAAAATATCTATAAGTGCCAATTAATCGCCTGTTTTCTTTCCCAAAACTTTAAGAAATACTGTAATTGTGTGTATGCACAGTTTGCAGTATTTGTTAAACGTTGATAAATTTAATTTTATTACAAAATTATTATTATATCATATATAAAGTGCATATTATATAGCATAAAGTATTATTATAGCATAAAGTGAATATATATAGCATAAAGTATTATTATAGCATAAAGTCATATACAATATATAATTAACACTACGCTTTTCTTAAATAGTATCACACCATAATTGAAATTAAGATTAAACGTGTTTCTTAGGATTTGAATTCCTTTAGTGTGGCTTTTTTACATTATGAATATTTTCTCTAAGAAATGGAAGTGGGTCAATAAGAAAATTCTAACGCTTTTTCAGGAAAACCAAAACAATCCATATATCAGAGTTACGGGTTTTGGACCTTTCATAACGGACACAATAGGTGTCATTCAGACATACTTGACGGGACTTCTGTTGAGACCCCCCAGTTCTCAAGACAATACATTTTACCTGACTCTGCCTCCCGTCCAGGCGGGAACCGAGAATCGTCTGGTCAGCTTGGGACAGGACGGTGTTAGGAATCCTCGACCTCTTCTATCCTCCGCCACCGGCGCCAGATCCTTGACCGGCAGATCGGGTAAGGCACCCAGTGAAATAGGACTTGTAGATAACGCTCAGGACGATAATATCGTCTACCCAGACAGAGATGTGTCTATTAGAGATTTCAGGTAAGAATTTTTCTTAACATTTATGTATCGCAATTTTCAGTCGCGCAGTAAATTTGTAATGGAGATCATGAGACAATCGAAAGACCACTTATAACGATTCGATTTCATTTTATACAAAACTAGTAATAGTTTAAACCGATTTTTTCGTTGTCGTAATTGTTATTTTAGTCACGTTCAATTTTGATAAAAATAGAAAACAAACGAGAGCCGACATACGGGAATGATTTTCACGATTTTAACATTTAAAAAGAAAAAAGATCGATAGATTAAATGTCAGTCGTAATAAAACACGGTTTAAAATTTCCAATATTAATTGTGATAAAGAATCGATGTCCTGTTCTTTCTCTTCGACCTTTTCCATCATCCATGGTCGATCGAGCATCGATCGATCCATGACTAAATGACGTAAATTTAATTGTTGATTCAGAATGAATGTCGTTTCGCATCGCGGATCTTTTCATCTTCAATGTTATATTTGCTTCGTTTTTGCTCCAAAATTTATTTGAAGATATTAAAAAAATAAATACAAAACTTTCATTTTCGAGTTGATATCAACAATTTTCTGTCATCATCAAATTTTTATCGTTTGTTTAGGGAATATATCGAGGATGCCAAAGCCACCAGTGATTACAGCAGATTACAGGAGTTTTATGAGGTGACATTTGGATCATTGATCGATCTAAATGCTACCTTTAAGGTATGTTAAAATTTTCTTCCAGATAAAAAAAATAATAATAATTTCAATTTTTAATGATCGAGTTTCTTTTCTCTTTTAGCTCTATCCAGAGATGGAAGGAGCAAAATTGGAACATCCAGAACTGAAAATGGAATTGATTTATGCTGTTTACGATGCTTTGGATGATTTGGTAATTAAATCTTTTTAATCTAATCGATTATAAAAAGAATAATAACTAAAAAAGTTATAGAATTTTTGAGTTTGGTTTTGTTTCTATTCAGCTTAGGTCTTTGACACGAAAATGAATTCTGATTATGATGGATTTATATTATAAATAGTTTAAAATAGCTCGATAAATCATATTGAAATATTTATAACTTTTGCATTTAATATTTTTTATCTGTGCTACATAGTAAAAAACGTTTGATTTTATTTTTTAGCCTTCCTATGTAAGTAAAGAAACGCTGAAGAGTATGGTGGGCGCTCTATTGGCTACCAATTGCAGGTGAGAATTCGCATTCATTATTTAGTCTTAGAAAAACATGTTTCTTATTAATTTTCTTGGCAGGTTAAAGGCAAAAGACGAAATCAGAGGCCTCTTCATATTACTACTGGTAATTCTCACAATTTTTCTTTTCCTAGATTCTGATCATTCGCAGCTCAACAGAATCTCTCTTTCCAGAATCCAATATTTAGCAATCAGGCATCGTATACGGTGTTTGCCCATCTATTGAGAAAAATAGTAGGTATGAGTAGCGGAGATCATCAACTGTTCATTCACTGGTTAAGTCGGTAAGCAGGGTGTTTAAACTGGTTAAACTAATCCTAATCTTGGTTAAATTGAAAGATTACGGATGTTGATTTTATCTTGGTTTTTAGTCTGGACAGTGAGAGATTACGCCACTTAGTGAAAAGGAATCTGCAGTTTATCACTATACGAGAATTTCCTCCGGCCAATGGACACAAGTTGCCTTCGATGAACAAGAGTCGCTGGTGGATACCGTGTGCTACCAGAGTTTTGGCTTTGATAAGTAAGAATCCTAGCTATAGCCTATAATTTAGTTTTTAATATTCGGTTAAATATATTTTTAACTTTTAGATACTGCCAATAACAAATTGACTCCAAATATCATAAATTATACGGAATTTTACAACAGTGCCTTGGATCACATCAATTTGATGGCTGAATATTACAGGTGGCAAAACCCATCTAAGCATCACAAGTAAATGGTTTAAATTACCTATAAATCCGGACTCTAAAAAGTACAAGACGGTTAAGGAAATTTACAGATTATTTATTACAAATATTTATTGTCATAGGTTTTCGTATTGTCAATATCCTTTTATTTTGAGCATCGTGGCCAAGAAAACAATTTTACAAAGGGACTCCGAGCAGCAAATGATTCTGAATGCCAGGGTAAATAATAACTTTTTTAAAAAAATAATTAGCTGGCGATATTTACAATCTCATTTACAATTTTAATAAACTGCATATTAATTAATTAAAAGTATATAATTTGTTTGAACTTGCAGAGAAGTTTACTTAATCGAGCGATCCATCAACAAGCGCCCGACATAGACGTCTTCTTCCTAAATCTGAATGTTCGCAGGTCTCATTTAGTCTCAGACTCGTTAAATGAAGTAAGTATCTCGTTTCTACATTTAGATAAACTTTACGAGTTTCACATAGTCAAATTTTGCACGTAGATCGCTCGCAAACAAGCAGACTTAAAGAAGAAATTGAAGGTAACCTTCGTGGGCGAACCTGGACTAGACATGGGAGGTCTGACTAAAGAGTGGTTCTTATTGCTCATCAAACAGATTTTTGATCCCGATTATGGTAAGTAGAAGGTACTCTATTTACGAGAATAAAAAACTGATATTGAGAGTCTGTAAATATTCCAGGTATGTTTGTATACCACAACAAATCGCGCAGCTATTGGTTCAGCACGTGCCAATCTGGAAATCTGAGAGAATACAATCTGATTGGAGTTGTAACCTTTTGAAATTATAATTTAAAGAACACTGAATTAGTTATACTAATATTATTATTTTATTATTATTATAGTAGTATATTTTATTGTTTTCCGTGTAAGACGATTAAAAAAAAGTAATAATATTAAAGCTTAAAAATAGGAATTATTTTGAAAATTAATAATTAATTATTTAATAAATATATTTCTTACTGTTTTAAATGCTGGTCTCAAGATATATTTTTTCTTAAGAAACGTTATTAAAACTTTGAAGAAATGGTACTTTCTAAAAGTTATTTTAATTAAGTGTGTTTTGAAATGGATGAAAAACAATTAAAAATACTATTTTTCATCCACAATAATAAAATTTCGGAAATACAAAACTTACTGATTAATTTTCTTTTTAATTAATGATACCCACCTTTTGCTCAAACGTTAATTTGTAACCCATTTATTTTATCGACATTAATATTCGATTCAATTATAAAAATCTTAACACGAAAGTTGATGGGCCTGGCAGTTTACAACTCGATCATTTTGGATTTACACTTTCCCACCGCTTGTTACAAGAAACTGTTGAGTCCACCAGTAGTGCCTCAGGATCTACAACAAGCTAAAGTCGGAGTCTGTAGCTTTTCTATGAAAGATTTCTCCGAAGTGATGCCAGTCAGTATAAATTATATATATTTTATATTCTTTAAAATAAAATATAATACAAAAATTGCTGTTTTTTCTATCAGGATGTGGCTGTGGGTCTGGGAGAACTGCTTTCCTATGAAGGAAACGTCGAAGAAGATTTCTGTATGAATTTCCAAGTAAGTAAACTCTAATAAATTTTTGTATAGTTTTGAATCTGAATATATTTAAATAACTTATGGAATAAAACACTAATGATGTTAGGTATCGGTGGAAGAATTCGGAGAAATGAAAACTCACGTATTGAAAACAGAAGGGGAAAATATTCCAGTGACAAACGAGAACAGGGAAGGTGAGCGTTGGAATCATTATATATAATAGAAATGAGAAAGGTAATTCTCTTCTCTTTTGCAGAATATGTAAAACTGTATATGGATCTTATCCTGAACAAAGCAATATATCAACCGTTCAAAGCTTTTTATTTGGGTTTTCATAGCGTCTGCGCTTCAAATGCCTTAATTGTAAGTTTTCTTTGTCTTGTTATATATATACAGTAATTCAGTTTCATGAAATAAAGCCTAATGAAACTGAATTTTACACCTGGATTTTTTATTGATGTAATCGTTTAGAAATAAATCGCGTAGCAAAAGTAAAAATTAAAAATCTAATTTGTGCATTTAAAAACGTAACTTAAAGCAAAAAACATATCGTTCAAATATGAGTTATAATATTGCGTATGTTTTTAAAATGAATTCGTACTCAGTAGCGCTAGTGATTAGCATCATGACGATAAAATTGAACATCGATCAATCGACTAATTCATGTCGTCAAATAAAAAACTGTCATCTAATGTGTCACTAGTCTGTTCAGCAATAATCTTACATTTTGAGCTTCTTTCATAAAATGCTAATTTAATATTTTAAAATTAAAGTAATAAATAAACATAATTAAGTTAGGGAAAAATAATTATCGACCAATATTATAATTATTAGAACAACAACCGTTCTATTTACAGAAAAAATCAATAAATGGAAATCGCGATTTGCTTTATTGGAAATAAACATTAATTTAAATATTGAAAAACTTATCTTTTATAATAACGCGACATTTCATCGATTATTATAATACAGTTACCTTAAGAAAGTATAAATAATTTCTGTAGAAAAGTGGTTTTGCAATTTGGAAAAAAAAGGCATAACTCTTATACAACTTTCATACAGATTGTAACCAGATAAATATACAATATATCTATACGTATTATACGCGTACTTTTCTCTTGGGTTAATGTCCAGATACGTGGACCGTCATGGCGGCACTTCCTGTTTCAGCCTCGAAACCAGACGGTTTGCAGAGGTGTCACGTGACGCACCGACGCACGTTCTAACCTAACCTAACCTATTCTAATAAATTAGCATAATTATTACCAATTATATTATTAGAATAGGTTAGGTTAGGTTAGAACGTGCGTCCCTACTGTTTCCTTTTCTTTGCTGGAATCAGCGATGAGGCGCCATGACAGCCGCCGACGTTCGCTCGCGTCGTCACGTGACACGTCGTCTGCAAACCGTCTGGTTTCGAGGCTGAAACAGGAAGTGCCGCCATGACGGTCCACGTATCTGGACATTAACCTTCTCTTGTGAGCATGTCTGTTATCCTGGTTCGCTATTTCAAACTGACATTTTTAATATGAACTATCAGTTTGCTATTCAAATCATATTTAAACTTATACATTTGCCATTTTAATATCCGATTTTGTTTAAAATGCAGCATTATTATCTCGTTTATGTTCAAGTTTTACAGTTTTTATTTGAAGTAAATTTATTATTTAAAAAGTCATAAAATTTCAGAATATTGATTGAAAATTCAGGCAAAGAAAAATTCAAAACTACAATATCTAATACTGCTCAATCAAATTGTCTATAGTAAATTTGTAAACATCGATTTGTTTCCGATGAAAATCTTATTCAATTCGGTAAAAGCGTAATTATTAAACCTAGTGGAGGCACTTCCGGTCGCCATCTTGTTTGTGAACGCAACATCCACAAACAACGACAGGGGGAACTACTAATTATACCGGTATTTAAATAAAAAAATCTTTCACTCAACGTTGACATATTCCTAATTCCTTACCTCCAATTTCTTCGGTAAATAACATGGTTCGGTGATTCTTTCGTAAATTCACCCTTTTCCATTGTAGAAACTTTTTCGTATTATTGAACCACACATGTCTACATTCTTCCTCTTAATATTTTCGGATTTATTGGTATTTACTTTCAGGGCTGAAGGTACAATTTCTGACTGTTTCCAAACTGAAATATGACCCGCTCCTGGATAAACTTTACAATTATGCTAAACAAACATGTCGAAACGTTCTCCTGATTTTTTCCTTTTGCTCTCATCAATCTCGTCGATGTCAACAATCGTTTCCGGGCCCACAAATTTTCATTCTGGTCAAATTATACTATGAAACCATCATAATATGTCTTATGTAATTCGCCCAGTCAACAGCTGTTCGACTACTCGCCCACAGCCAACAGGTCACGCTCAATGCACATTCTATGCAAATTAGATGCCAAATAATCCTTTGAAGTCCTCTTTTGCCATGAAGACTGTTGAACTTTAACTAATTTTGCCATTACAACAATAAAAAGGAAGATATCAAATATTAACTCCGAAAAATTATTATACAAATAGCAAGAAACAAATCTTTGAAAGCGTGCATATAATATTTAGTATAAAATAAATTTTTGTTATATGTATTTTTTAATAACTTTATATAATATCTGGAAAAGAAATTGATTATCCGTAAAGAAATTTTAAACATTTTTGGATAATCAAAACAAATCGACTTCAATTTTTCAATAATAATTTATTTTGACCCAAAACAAATGAATAATTAAGTTTCCTATTTAGAAAAACACAGTATGTTTCAAAAGTCCATTAACTGAGATATATCTCATTAAGAACATATACTCGTAAGAAAAATGGCTTCGTGATTCGGTTATTTCCAATAAAGCGATTGAATGAAATAATATCACAAATAATAACACGCGGTTCTCATGCGGCAATTCAAATGGCTTAAAATATCTCAGTTAGTCGAAATTTTGGGCCACTCTATATTATAAAATAATAAATAGCCAGATTAAAGTTTAACATTTAAGACAGATTTAATATCTGAATGTCTTGAAATAAATTATAGAAATTTAAAAGTGAGCGAAATAAAGATTAAACCATTTTAGTTGGAAAAACTTTGCATAATCATAAGCTGACCACTCCAACAAAAACATGTTTTTTGATAACAGACACTGTTACTAAAACACATTCTCTCTGAAAATATTTTTGCTCGCCTCTTTATCCCAATATACAGTACCTAACATTATTAGCCTGCGAACATTGTAATTGCTGGAAAGTGCAATTGGTTGAATCCTGGAGAAATGCGAAGGATGAAGGTTCAAGTTCTGTACATATGTTTATTTGATGGCCGGATGGCCGAGCAGTTAAGGCGTCAGCTTACCGATCTGGGAGCCCGGAATGGAATCCAGGCAATTGAAAAATCCCAAGGGGTTTTGAAGGATAATCTATTTAGGATATGTCGGCCCCAATCCCTCATCATGCGCTCTTAATTTTGCGCCTTCTCGAACTCACCACGGGTATGGAAAAAAGATCCGAAAGTGCTAAAAATGGAGAAGGCTTAAAAACATATAAAAATCATTTTCAAAAGCTAAATTGTTAAATATAGAACTAAATGTTTTCAAAATATTTCATCATTTTATTAGAGTGACTGAAGGTAGAAACAATATTTCAGAAATTAGTTACAAATCTTGTAAACAAAGTATTGACTCTACGGTTAATTAAATAGTTTTCTTGCATAATTGTAAAATTATAAAATTTTATAAAGGCATTATTATTTGAAATCAGCAGACTTAGGTATATACGATACACTTATTAACAAAAAGTTACTTAGCCAGATACTTCGTAGAATTGTCCAATTACTGCAAAACTCGGAATACGGATACATCTAAAAATGTGTAAATTATTAGAATTGTGGTCCGTTGCACGCCAGATAGTGCCACTAAAGTTTCTTAAAATTGGGAAGTCTAGTGTCTTCAGGTACTACCTTTTATGACAGGATTCAAACAGCCATTTTCTACCAAGATAATGCTCAGCCGCACATAACTAGGGTTTCTCAGGAATGTCTTCGTCACGTCGCATACATTCTTAGTCTGCTAGATTTTCCAGATTTGTCATCCATCAAGCTTTTGTGAGACCAGATGGGATGCAAACTTCAGTTATGTGTGAGGGATCTAAAGCTGAAATTGCAACATCCGTGGGCAAATTTGTCGCAGGATAGGTCTGTATACGGTGTCTGTATGCCTCTATGCCCAACCGTATCGTCAAATGTATCCAGGCAAGAGAGTCTTGGGGTTTTTTTGAATTGTACCACTTTTCCACAGGGAATTATCTCTTTGCTATGGCATTGTAATCACTACTCATTCATTGTCATTACGTTCGCACTAATAAAGTTTCATTCGATTTCAGTCTACTTTTTGGTGCGTAACTTTTTGTCAATGAGTGTATAAATAAAATAAACGTAACGATTACGATATCTAACTTTTAAATCTGTTTAGGTAAGCTGTTGTTTTTCTAATTAGAAACAGCTTTTCACGAATTAAGTAGAAACAGTTTTATTAAAAATCTCAAATTAGTGAAGTTAGAGAATCAAAAGCACCTGCATGAAACTTAAAACGGTGCAGATTTAACAGGGAACTTATTACAGAGGAAGGAGATAATGAAGTACTGACGGTTTTTGTACGGCAATTTATGAAGCGTATGAAAATAATTGAAAATATTCCTAAATAATAAAGTTTTCTCTTAATAGAGAATAAAGTGGAGATCTGGTATAAATTGGATATATAACTTTTCTAATCGTGTAAAGAATTACTGTTATTCCATGACATTTTTATCTATACATCTACAGTAAATACAACGTATAAACATAATACCAATTATCTCTTTATTTTCTGAATTAAAATATATCATTAAATTAATGATTTATAATTTATTATCAATTTTATTTTTTCTCACTCAAATTCTTTTATATTTTAAATAATAAAGAAACATTTTAATCAAAATATAAATAATGTGATTATGTAATAATTGTAATAATAATTGATTAGTATAATTATTAAAATTTATTATAAAAAAATTGTTTATAAAAATTTAACAAATAATCAAAATTGATTAATTTTTAAAGATGTTGCGCCCGGAAGAAGTAGAAATGTTGGTTTGTGGATGTCCTACTATAGACATGGAGGAATTGAGGAAGGTGACAGTTTATGATGGATTTCATGAAGATGAACCTATAGTGAAGTAAGTGTCATTTACCTTAACGCAAAATATAATATGATGTTAAAATATATTTGAAAGAAGAATTTGGATTAAAATGTTATAATAATAAATATTTATTTGAAACTTTTCTTGCTTTATTTCAGCAATTCTTTCTGTAGAGAAATATGCAATTTAATCGTTCTATTGTCATTTTCAGTGTTAGTTATAAAGATTTTTTAAGGTTTTAAGAATTATTAATAACATTAAGTTTTTCTGTTTAAAAAGTAATTTCTTGGCACCGTTTAGTACGAAAACTAGAAATAGTTTTATAGAAAATTATATCGTAGACAGAATACAAACTCAAAAAGTATTTTAATTATTCTTACGACTAAACTTGTGGAATATTTTTGGAAAATTTACTAGATTAATAAACATTTTTCTTTTGTAATTATTTAATATTTTTTTCTCTTTAATATTTCGAAGAAATTTGACCGTTATTATTAGATAAAAATATTTTAAAATTTTAATATAAATTTGGTCTGTTCGATTGGTTAGGATAGTGCACACTTTTACATAAATTTGACGTCATTCTTTAAAATGTTTTATTACGTCAAATTGACGTAAAAATTTGCATTTTTTCAATCAATACAACAGATCCGCTATATTATCAACGTAAACTCACGCGGGACAATTTCTATGGAAACAAAACTAAATAGACAAAAGTCCTTGTTTTGTCAGAACATTCGCAACCATCCAATTCTGGAAATAACTTTCCAACAGATTCTCTAATCTCTGGGTGATAATACTTTATATATTTGGATGTGTAATAACGTAATGATGCAATTGTAAATAGAATTGTTTCTATAATTGATGGCAATTAATGGAATTAAAAAGATGGCAAAGAGTAACTTTTAATATGAAAAAAGATTACTTTAACTATTAGTCATATGTAAATATTGTAATATCGTTAACTATTACATTGTTTTCTTTTAATAACCTTATTTTAACTTTACAGTTTTCAAGTGAAAAATTATATATTCGAAATTTTTAAGGTTAATTAATTAAGTATTTGACTAATTATTTTATATATCCTATATATATGTACAGTACAGTACAAAGTAATTTTCCTTTTGTAGTCAGAAAATGTTTTATTTACTAAGTCATAACACCGGACTGCATATTTTTAGATCTTGATGCACAATGCTATTGATTTTAGTAGTTTCTTGCTCTGTACATCATACTTTTCTTATTAACAAAGGAGTTCTGTAGAAAAATTTTGAATAGAAGGTTAATCTGGCCTCCTAAGCTTTCCATATCTCGTAGCAACTTTCATCTATCTAGCGCTGTTCTTGAGATTAAGGGCAAGCAAACAACAGACAAACGCCAGTGAAAATCTATAGGTCTGCAATTTTTAAAATTGCATGCTAATAATTAATTTTGGTAAATAAAACGTTAAAAGGGTTTACAAAATGTTACAAAATTTAAATAAACAAACATCTCTATATTCTTAGAGGTAAAGATTGTTTTCAGTTAATGTCTTGGAAATTGATGTTTTATTCCTGGGAAGAGATAATGAATTGCAATCAATCGATTCTATTGAAATACATTTATCGATGCAATAAATTTCTGAAAACAACAATTGGATTTGTTCTTGGGTATCTTTTTATATCAAATAGACAAATTTAAGAGGTATAAATGTAGTCAATCATTAATATGAAGTACAATTTTAAAATTCGATTCAAGCAGAAACAAGGAGAATCTATCATATTTCTAAAGAAAACCTCCTTATTCACAACCAAATTTCGTCAATTACTAATTTGCTTTTAGTTAAAAAATTCTAAATTTAAGGGTCTGTATTTTGATATCTAGTTTATTATTAATTAAATTTTGATTACTTTTTGTAGACTATTATTAGTTACATCAACTTTTCAATTTTGAGGTTATCACGACTTTTTATATTAAATTGTCCTTCTAACAATCTTTTTGTACTGTTTATTAAAAATTGTTATTATCTTGTTTTTTTTAATATAGAGATTCACTTTAATTACTCGCTCTAATTCTTTTGCTATTAACATTTTTGTCAAGTGTTTGATCAATCTCCGAATCATTTCGACAAACATGTTTAATTATTTTAATCAAGTATAAATTTACCATCGTTATTCTTTTATCCTATTCAATTTGTTTTTGCTAAAATTTTCATTATTGTAAACGAATTTACTTTTTTCATCATTATATAATGTCGTTCGTTACTTTCTTTAGAAAAAATCATGCATTATTGCAATTTTAATCAGTTTTATCTTATTTTATTATTTCTTTCGCAATCCTCTTCAAAATTTGAATATTCCTGTTATGTTCTTAATCAGATTATATGGAAAATTTATACACACATTAAATATTCGAATGAATAGAATTCCAAGATTGCTGCTTTAATATCAACTATACAGTGATTCAAAAGTTCCAAAAAATAAAATAAAACAAAGGCTAAAAAATTCCTGTAATGAATACTTTTATAATAAATATGTAAATCATGTAATAAATTATTTTTGCCAATTTTAAATACTACGTTAAAGAATTGAATTATTTCGCGATATGACTTTCGTAACAACATCATAGTGTATAATCATTTAATATTATAGTAGTATATAAGCTTGTATTAAAGTTTGTAAAACATAGTTCGATTATATTAGTTTTATCAATGTAAAAGTAAACGAGTCTATTAAACTTAAAACATACCTGAGTTATATTCAATACCTCTGCTCTCGAAATCATTGTCATCATCACCATCATAAAATAATTCAAGCGCACTGATAGAGTTTCACGAAAGTATCTCATACATCTAATACTGCATGATTATGCAAAAGTTACTTTGATACTCATGTTTTACATACTTTAGACTATCTTTACCCCGAAAAATCACGTACGTACTCAGACGCACAAGTTTTATATGTTAGCGATAAATATAAATGGCATGATGATCTGCTTGTGCGATGATCATCATGCCATGTAATAATGTATCATGCACAAGCAGAACTGAAATTTCAGTTCTGCTTGTGCATGATACATTGCTACGTTGTAACAAGCAGAACTGAAATTTCAGTTCTGCTTGTTACAACGTAGATCAGAAAGTAGACTTTTAAGTGTGCTTAAAACTAGGAATTCAATCATTAGTTAAAATGTTTCAAAAAATTCTCAATTTTATTGTCGTCACCTAAATACAAATATGCATAGATAGAAAGATCGAATTTTGACACGATTTTTCGACATTTGAATCGCTGTGTATTGTTGTTATTGATTATTCTAATACAATTTGCTATCTGAATATTATTTTGAAGATTTTCCAGATTACTATTCTACAATTGATACTGTGATTTTTGTTAAATCTCCTAATGATGAATGATTTTATCTTCAATTACTATTTATTTTTGAGTCAGAAATATGAATTAGGCCTACACATTATTTCAGAATTATTTTAGAATCGTTTAATCGTTTTGTTAACGTTCGTAAAACGAATAATTCATAACAGATAAAAACTAAACACGACAATAATATTCTAATCTAAAAAATAAGGGGAACGTTGCTATCATACACTAACAAGTAAGTAGAATACATAAAATATATTTATTTGTTATACAAGTGTTTGTAACTCCTGTGCTTTTTAATATACACGTAGGCCTATATACAAAACAATTATACATTTACAGTATATAAAAAATAAGAAAGTGTATACATTCTATATTGTTTGCAACAAGAGTAGCCTATACATTTTGAATGATGAATTTACATATTTAATACCTTCTAAGACAGAATCAATATATGTGACTCGTTTTTAAAAAAATAGAGATACAATAATAATAATTTTATTATTAATAATAAAATTTTCTATGAATTATATAAATTTATTATTTAGAACATTTTACTAAGATGTAAGATTCGTCCTAAACAAACTGGAGTTTTTGCTCTAACTCATTTAATTAGTTTTACTATTTTAATCGCATCAATAATCTCTCTCGCTAAGATTTTTAAAAAATTTAAACAATTAAGTTTTATGAACAAATTATTGTTTCCTGAATAAACTTCCTCAAGAAACAATAAACTTTATGTCAGTTATTGCCTCTTGGTTTTTGAATCCATCTTTATCTAAAGTTTTATGTTAATATACATAACTATACATTTTGAGTTCATTAGATATACTTTATATGCTAATCTTACATATTATTTGGGTAAATAATATAAAAAGTCAGCTTATAGATTATTAATTCAAAATTCGCATGAAAGAAGAAAATTATCATAATCTTAGTTTTGAGCAAGAAATTGTCTTATTAAAAAATTATAGTATCATGTGGATTCAAATATAATTAATGCTTTTTGCTTATTTAAAATTAATAATTATTTTTACTGAAAATTAAAAAGTCTTCATTCAATTTATTACTTTTGTATTTTTACTGATTAAAATTAATAAATGAGACATTTTAAAGTTTTGTTTATATATGTTACTGTGAAAGACCGAAATTAGAGAATGTCGATATTCTCCGGTGAATGTCGACACATACAAAATACGTCGGTGAAAGACCGAATATTTGGTTACATTATTATACATTCGAACAATCGCCGGTGTATATCGACAAGCACAGATAAGTTTTGGTGGAGGTCGAAACGACACCCGAGAAGCCGATGTCGACAGAGAGGTGACAGTCTGTCGCCAAATTCTTCGCCGTTTCCTTCTGCTCAAATTGGTGATACCGTACGAATACAAGTCCCTGATGTTGACCGTGGCCGTACAGATGCCCGAAATGTGTTGGCAGTTGTTGTTAGAATAGAAGACTCCGACTTTTATAAATTAGCAAACAAAAATGATACCCTCAAGCAGCTTTATACCCGTAATCAGTTCGTAATTTGTAAAGAAAATTTTCCATAGGTAAGATTTCTTCTCAAGAAATATCGCTGAGAGAAGCAGCTGCAGCTAATTCGAAAAGTGGAGGGCAAGGCTATACACGCTGTCATTGCAAAAAAAAAGTGTTCCACGAATAAATGCAGTTGTAAAAGCAAGGGGCTCTTGTGCAATTCAAAGTGCCATAACAGTTTAAGTTGTTGCAATAAATAAGATTATATACCGTTAATCACATAATATATGTGATTAACGGTAATTTTCCGATTAAGAATGTACTGTTCATTTTAGGTTCAACAGTTTATTTACATGTGCTGTTACTTAAGTTTTCTCCTATTTTGATATATGAAAAAGTTGCATTTTTGTCTTAACGTAATAAAAATATTTTTATTCAACATTCACCATCACTGCATGCTGAATGTCGACATTTGCTGGTGTAAGTGAGAAATAATGACATTTAGCAAATATTTCGTACATACACGAAACGACTGTGTGAATGCTGACATTCACGGAGAATCTGGACATTCGTCAGATATCCGTCACTCACAGTAACATATGTACAACATATACAGTATATATATAATAATTGCTCGTTTATATATATATATATATGTATAAACGAACAATTATTTATTGTAACGATGTCACAATGACGGGCTACAATTTTTAATCATATTTTTAATGTTCTCCACGTCAAATTAGTAGTCTTGCTCCTGTACATCACACTTTTCCTGCTGGCATTTCAGTCACGTACATAACTCCTTTCAGGGGAAATTTTTGAATTGAAGTAACGAGACTTCCAGTTTGTATCCGAAGTTCGTATATAGTTAATCGGGTCTCCTGCCCCAAACTTTCCATATCTAATCGCGAGTTTCATCTATATAACTCCGTTCCCGAGATTAAGGGAGGACAAACAGGCAGATAGGCAAGCCGATGACAGTGGGAATTTATAGGTCTACAATTTTTTTTCAAATTGCAGCCCAACAAAACTTTAAAATGCATTTTGTATTTTTAAATATATAAATAACCATAATAGAATAATAATTGATTAGTATAATTATTAAAATTTATTATAAAAAAATTGTTTATAAAAATTTAACAAATAATCAAAATTGATTAATTTTTAAAGATGTTGCGCCCGGAAGAAGTAGAAATGTTGGTTTGTGGATGTCCTACTATAGACATGGAGGAATTGAGGAAGGTGACAGTTTATGATGGATTTCATGAAGATGAACCTATAGTGAAGTAAGTGTCATTTACCTTAACGCAAAATATAATATGATGTTAAAATATATTTGAAAGAAGAATTTGGATTAAAATGTTATAATAATAAATATTTATTTGAAACTTTTCTTGCTTTATTTCAGCAATTCTTTCTGTAGAGAAATATGCAATTTAATCGTTCTATTGTCATTTTCAGTGTTAGTTATAAAGATTTTTTTAAGGTTTTAAGAATTATTAATAACATTAAGTTTTTCTGTTTAAAAAGTAATTTCTTGGCACCGTTTAGTACGAAAACTAGAAATAGTTTTATAGAAAATTATATCGTAGACAGAATACAAACTCAAAAAGTATTTTAATTATTCTTACGACTAAACTTGTGGAATATTTTTGGAAAATTTACTAGATTAATAAACATTTTTCTTTTGTAATTATTTAATATTTTTTTCTCTTTAATATTTCGAAGAAATTTGACCGTTATTATTAGATAAAAATATTTTAAAATTTTAATATAAATTTGGTCTGTTCGATTGGTTAGGATAGTGCACACTTTTACATAAATTTGACGTCATTCTTTAAAATGTTTTATTACGTCAAATTNGTTCTAGTTTTGTAATAATTCTAATAAAAGAATTGTAAAAGAAACAAAAAGTTACTTTTGCTACTGATGGGTGTTATAATGTATTGTGTTTAAAAATGTCGGAGGTAAATAATTGCGAAGACGAAGAGTTATCTAATCTATTAGACTGTGCCTTGAAAGATTTTGATAAACCTATAGAAGATAAAAAACCAAATACTGAAAATGAAAATAAAAACGAAGAAGCAAAAAACACAGAAGCACATTTACACCAGTCAACAGAAACAAGTTCAGATGAAGTATGGGACTTCAGTAAATTTGAAGAAGCCATGAATTCATTAGTATTAAATGATAAACAGTTAAAAGAAAATCTCAATAGTCTTTCTGAATTTGCAGATTAAGAGGGAGAAACAGTGGATGAGGATTTTGCTGCATCGCTAGCGAATACTTTGAAAGGATTGGCTGAAAACACAGAGAATATTTTTGAAACTTCAAACGAAGATTTTAAACAACTACTAAATAATTTAGCTAAAGACAACGAAGCCGGAAGTGATGACATTATGCCAAATTTTCTACCATTGATGCATTTTGAATGGAAGTGAACGGAAGATAACTATTCACTCTTAGCTTTACTCTTTAATCTTTAATATAGTTAAAAAATACAATATCTGTCTATAATACTGACTGGCTAAATTACATTTTTATTAAAACATAAACTAAAAATTTCATTCTCACTAACGTTTAACAATATAAATATTATTTAGAAGTATTTGTATTTTTTCTCAAAATAAAACATTTTTTCCATGCAGAGAATTCTGGGAAATTGTAAAATGTTATAATTCGGATCTTCAAAAACAATTTTTAAGATTCACTACTGGCAGCGATCGAGTACCCGTAGGAGGAATGGGAGAGATGACATTTAAAATTTCAGCCCTCAACCACAACACAGAAATGTAAGTTTTCAATAGTCTAAAATATCGAGAAATTTTATTTAATCCGAGGAAAATTTTTTTACACAGGTTGCCTATTTCACACACTTGTTTCAATCAACTTGTGTTGCCCCGCTATACCACTAAGGACATTTTGAGAGAGAAATTGACAATTGCTATATCAAATGCAGAAGGATTTGGATTGGAATAAAATCTATATTATACAAAGGAAAGTACGTGTATCTGGCCAAAAGTACAAGTGCCCTATTTATCTTCCATTCGTCCCTCATTTCTCGACGAATAAAGATCTCGGCACCATCCTGCTTCCCACTTTAGACGTGACTCACAAATTCTGAAACGATAAAAAAATTATCATGTACATATGTAAATCAATCTAGCTTCTAAACATTTTTTATCATTCATCAATGATCATATTTGACAAGAAAATTTATTTTTGCTGTGATAGAATAATAAATGTTGCACTTCAGTATATTTTTGTCTGTCTATCAAGAAAATTAAGTAATGTAGACATTGATTGCTAAAATCCTGTATATTTTTAAACTTGTGAAAACATATTAATTATTACAATTATAATAAAAAGAACTTGTGCTAATTATTTACAAGACGTAATAATTTATTTTCTTGTTAAATATTAATTTTAATAATTCAATTAATTATGAACTGATATTCATTTATGAAAATGATATCGATTTATTATTAAACTTTCATTAAAATACAGTATTACCAAATATGCTATCATTGGGTGCAAAACCATTATTACATTTAAACTTTCTTCGTATTAAAACATATGAAGAAAGTTTAAATGTAATAATGGTTTTGCACCCAATAACTAAAACGAATTGTTTCATTTGGTAATCATAAATACACGGTGATTGTAGTTAAAGTATTCCTATTTAATGCTGTCTACGGAGATATTTAGCAGTCCAAATGCAACCAAACCTGATATGCTGACATTCCGGAACACGCGAGAGATCTTCCGTAAAAAAGTTAATATTATAACTCAGTGGTTCCCAATTAGTTTTTCCTGCGTACCACTTCAAGAAAGAGCTCAAACTCGCGTACCCCGTATAGCAGAAATTCATATTAATCCATACTAATATTATAAATTCGAAGGTAATTCTGTCTGTCTGTCCGTTACCTTTTCACGTCCAAACCGCTGAACAGGTTTTAATAAAATTTGGCACAGAGATAACTTACATGTTGGAGATGGACATAGGCTACATTTTACTGCAAGAAAATATCTTAATCGCACGAGAAGATTCGATATAATGCGGGTGAAGCTGTGGGTAGACAGCGAGTGATAAATAGAATAAGTTTTTTTTTACATTTATTACCTTTAAAATACAATTCTAATAATGATGAAAATAACATAAGGTTATTTAATTTTAATGTGACAAATGTGCACGATTTTCTTTGCACAACTTTGTAAAATCTGGTTGCTTTTTGGTCAGCTTCAGTCTCAAGTCATCTTCGAGTTGAAATCGGTGACGATGTTTAGTTTTCATGTTTGTCATGGCCGAAAATCCGCTCTCGCAGAGGTATGTTATGCGAACTGGTAGTAAATATTTTATTGCCGCTTCGCTGACATGATAATATTGATAACTAGCAGGTAGGCCCGGCGTTTCTCGGGCAACAGTAACGATAGGGAAGATTAACATTATTACGTTATAGTCAACCTTACCCGTTTTCACAGAATATAAGAATTGGGTTCCCCTGTTTCCGGACTGATTAGAAAATATTTAGATGAGTCTAAAAATATGTTCGATTTCCCGCAAAAACGAAAAATTTGCATCTTCGTCTTGCACGTCGCTTTCTCTTAACAATTTCATTGTTAAACACTTCCATTGTTAATGGAAGTGTTTAGCCTTAATCCTGTCCCTCTCCCCCGTGGAAAGGAATTTTGAAAAATCCCTTCTTAGTATGCATTCTCGGTAACGTACCCTGTGTACCAAATTTCAACTCCTAACCATTTGGGCTCTGCACTTATCATTATTATCATCAACCTGTCTCGATTATATATATAGATTGTACAATTTTTGTTTCTTGCGCAAGAATTTCATTTAGGTACTGTCACAAATGCATTTTTTTGATGAAATTTCGAGAATATTTTTAGTTATAAATAAACGAATTTGTGCATTCGACATCATGTTGTAAATCGCCGAATTTTTGATGGTCCACCCATTATTTTTTTGATTGCTTCATCTCATGCATTTAAATTTCGCGTACCCCTGGGGGTACGCGTACCACTAATAGGGAACCAATTGTTTCAGCTCATCATTATGATATTTTTGATGCTGCAAGCAAGAAACATTTGCACGAGACAGTCATGCTATACAGAGACAGTGATGCACGAGGTTTGTTTGTTTAGTTATGGCAAAGCAACACTTGAGTGATCTGCCTAAGGTGATGTCTTCCGAGAGGTCTTTTTAAGGGAAACTCGCTCCTATGTAGGCGTTACAGACGTGGAGAAAACCCAGAAAACTTCACGTGGCCAGTTCATCCGAGCGATGCGCGAACCCACGACCGAACTCCCAGTGTTCTGGGAACGAAGACCGCTTGGCCACTGGTGGGCCTTGATACATAAGGTACTACTCAATACTGTATAGCAAAACATAAAGGCCAACCGATGAACTGTGTCTGATGGCTGTCCTTAATTGATTCTCTGCAATGCTTCTCGCACGCAGACACTGCAATGTGATACTGTCTTTCAAGAAAGCCAAATTTGCAACACGTCCTCGAAAAACGACACTTTTTAATTGTACCCACAATAAAAAAATCACACGGTTTGCAGCGCCAAGTGTCACAATGCTAATTTTAGTATTATTTTATTTTTTTCAGAAATGTCTTTAGTGTGTCCAAAAATGCCACCAAACTAGTATATTTGATCCGATCAATAGACAACGTTGAATAGTGGTACAGTACTCAATTACGATCGCCCCGTATATTAAATAATTGCAAATTACAAAGTTAATGTTAGAATGTTTTCTTTCTTTAGTATTGCTCTTTTAAAAGCTTCGAAACTCTTCGCTATTTTAAATACAAAATGAAGTACACAATTATTAGTCGGGAATTTTGGTTACTGAGTAGGCTAATTTTGTCCTACTCCTTCGAAGTAAATGATTTAGAGATGCCACAGCTAATAATATCATAAATCTTTAATCTAGATTAAATTCCTATGTCAAATCGAATTTTCATATCACATGAAACTGTTTTAAAAAACATTTTATTTGTTTTTCGTTCACTTCTACTTTTAAAACTATCAATAATTGAATAAAGAAATTATAGGCAATTGCACACTGATATGGCAATATAGGCTTATATTAGGGAATTCGATCCCGGTCCTTATTTCTAATCCCGGGATTTCGGGATTATACTTATTCAATACCGGGATCCCGGGATTATTTCGGTATTGAGGGTTAATAAAAAATAAGAAAATCTTACAGAAATCAAAAACAAAATTTAGACAAAAATCAACGTATTTTACGGTATACACCTAGTTAATTTAATCACTCTAACTAATCAGACTTAGAGTCAGACTAACCAGACTTAAAATCACTGTTTCATGTTAAATTTATTCTTTTTTAAGCATCACTGAGATCTCTTTAAACTCACATAAATTGAAAAAACCTTTATGTAACAAACTATGCAAATAAACGTTGAAAATTAACAAAAATCTCTCTTAACATCGACTAAATAGACTACTTTCATATAACAACCTAGTAAGTAGGTAGTAAAGTAAGTTTCTTAGCAAAAAGTATTTAAAAATAATATTAATCAGTCACATTTTTCTTAAATATAAAGAAAACTAATCTAATAGGAACATTCTAATTTGAATTGCGAAAATATGATCTGAGAAATAACAACGCATCCAGTGTCTCATCACCAAGTCTGCTTCTCAATTTGTTGCACATATATGCAGCTGCTGAGAAAACGCGTTTAGGTTTGATGGAAGTTGGAGGAATCGTTAGTAAATACTTATAAGCTTCGAGGACACGGGGAGGATGGAAGAAAACAGTCCGGTCGACACGGATCGGGATTGTAGGAGTAAAGGCTACAATCCCGATTGTTTCGATCATTGTAAGCATGTCTTTCTAAAAATAAACGCGTTAATTTTGTAAATTCGGTCTCTGTGTGAGTCTCTCAGCGTCCAGCAAACCACTACCCCGAAACGTAAAAAGACTTTCTCGCATCATCCTGACAGATCGCGGGCAAGGCGAGGGTCGTAACCTTTTCACCTAAGGTCGACCCCCCTAAGCGAGAGGCGTCGGGTCTATATTAACTACACTGGCAAAACAAGATGGCTGACACATTGACAGGTAAAACGCACTGAGTAGTGCTCTCGACTGCGCCAGAAAATCGATTGGCGCCCGCGAAAATTCAAAAATACAAAAATGAAGTATATTACCAAGTAACCCAGTGAGAACTGCTTGCCTATCATTTTAGTTGAAAATACAAGAAGTTTTATTCCAAGCAAGCATCGCAAGCCCGCTAGGTTAATTTCTGCTGCTTGCTTGGAATAAAATTTCTTGTATTTTATATTAAAATGATAGGCAAGCAATTCTGTTAAAAGCACTGGCACTGAACGTTTCGCTTCATGCAGTCTATTTTGCAACTTTTTTAAAATGATGTCAATCCCGAAAATCTCGGGATTAGGAAAACTTAATCCCGAAAATTTTGGGACTGAAAAGTGGTCGGGATCCCGGGATCCCGATTTTCGAGATCCCGGGATCAAATCCTTTAGCTTATATACAACATAGTAATAAGTTCTGAAAAGAACTTATTACTATGTTGTATATAATAAGTTTACTATTACTATATTGTATATAATAAGATGTAGTAATAATTTCTATTCAGAACTTATTACAACAACTTTACAAAAGTTGTAGTAATAAGTTTACAAAAAATTTACAAAATGCACATTTACAAGTTCAAACGTCTTCAAATTCTTAATGAACCATCAAACACCTGATGCTGAGAAATGTTTATTAAACAAATACTAACATTTGTTTAATAATTCTCTAAAGCCGTGATCACACTCTGCAATTCCCAGCTGCACAGGTAACTGCAACCGCGATGGCTGTTCCTGAAAGCTAGTAAACTCCCTTCGAAACTTGGCGACTGCAACCGCAACTAGAAACAAAAAGTTTGTTCTACTTACGCCGATTGCGAACGCATATCCAATTATTAATTAAACGCCTTTGTGCCACATCATATGATGGCAACTTTAAAAATAGTTATCAGTATGGCAGAAAGTGAGAATACCAGTACAGCTTTAGAATCGAGATTAATCGAGCTGATTCAGGCTCACGAATGCCCGAGAACTTTAAAAATAAGAGCACAGGCATGGCGTGAGATAAGCGAAATTCTAGGTAAGTACCAGTTTTAGATTTTTGGATATAAAATGTTAATTGTTTAATAACGACAATGTTGCTTAGCGGTCAAGGTGGCATCCTACCTCGCCTGTGAGACCAGGGATCGAATCCGGATAGGTCGAAAACGCCCCAAAAATTTTTTTCAGGCGATGATCAGGCGACACATTCCGGATGAACCTTCCGGATGTGTCGGGCTCCGTTCCTCATCACT